AGCAGACATTGGCGTCTACATCCCTCTGTGATTAAATGATTTCACTGTATCACCACAAATTGGTTTACAGAGTGTTTCAGTTAGTAATTATACTGTTGATGTTCTGTATATTTCCTCATGCAAAATAATGAAGTTTCAAAACCTGTAAACAGTTAGCAGTAATGTGGTATGCCTTTCATTTTTGTAAAATGACATTTTAAACTGTCTGTCCGTCTGTCTCTATTTCTCAGTGTTTTCCCTCATTGAAAAAACTCCAGTTACCATCACTAAGCAAACTTCCCTTCAAATCCATTGACCAGAAGTTCCTAGAAAAGAGCAAAACTCAACTCAATGCCTTTCTCCAGGTAATTTATGTTACTTTTAGCCAACTGCGTATAGATTTCTGTTATGTTGCTAGCTAGTTTTCATACACTCTCAACATAATATTCAACATGCCCAGGTGTTAAAGCTGCCTCAGTTTGATTTTTAATATCAAATTCTAATTTCATTTATTTTTTAATTATTTGAACTACTCCACAATCTCTCCACATTCCCCATGGCAACTGGACCGTTAGGGTCCAAGACTGAAGAACACCGCCCAGCTCTATGCTAATACTGCCTCCCTCTGGTTCATAATAGCAGCTAAACACTGGTGATGGTGACTTCAGCTCTCTGTGTGTGTCTTCGTAGCGTCTGCTGACAGATGAGCGATTGTGCCAGTCAGAGGCTCTCTATGCGTTCCTCAGCCCGTCTCCAGAGCATCTCAAGGTAACTCATATCTCATTCTTGCATTTTAAAGAAGACAAGACATCTAATATATTGCTGTCACAATGTCAAACATACAAATATGTATATTTTAGAAAAAGTTCTTCCTCCTCAAAGCTTGTTGTCATATTCTAATAGAATTTTTAGATTTACCTTACATTTATTACAGTACATACATTTTATAGTGCAGACTGCATCAATAAGCTTTGTTTGTTCATTCAGCTCAGGCCTATCTGAGTGTTGGTATGATTCCATACATATAGTGATGATATCTTGTTCAATGGTTATAGGTGATGTCAATCCAGAAGAAATCGTCTTTCTCTCTGGCCTCCTTCCTGGAGAGGCTACCTGGAGACTTCTTCTCCCATACTGAGGTACACACTCATGGCATCACTGCTGAAGCAACATCACAGTTTGGACACTCTTAGCACTCTCATGGTCTCGCGTCCTCAATTGGATTTCATGTGCTGTGTGTAATTGCTGTCTGTAGGAGGAGGCTGACGATGACAGCGATCTGTCAGACTACGGCGATGAGACAGATGGGAGGAAAGACGCACTGGCTGAACCCTGCTTCATGCTCATCGGAGAGATCTTCGAACTCAGAGGAAGTGAGTAGTATGCTGCTCTCATCTTTTCACAGTTACATTTATATTTTTATACACAACATACAAATAATGAAATGTAACATGAAACAGGCTGAGGCCTATATGAAGAAACTAGAAATGTATCTCTTGTTTTAGGTACAGTTAGCTAGTTTCTGTCTTTTTGGATCAATATCATGAATTTTAATGGAGGGGGTCTGTCTGTCTGTCTGTCTGTCTGTTTGTCTGTCTGTCTTCCTGCTCAGTGTTTAAGTGGGTGAGGAAGACGCTAATTGCACTAGTCCAGGTGACATTTGGACGAACTATCAACAAGTAAGTAGTAACAAGTTATGTTTTGATTTAATAATAACTATACATGTAATTACTTTTTTTTTTTTTCTATTGAATTTGAACCAATTTTTTCAAAGACATTTTTTGGCCATTTTTGGCTTTATTACAATAGGGACAGTGAGAGAGAGACAGGAAAGTTAGGGGAGAGAGGGGATGACATGCAGCAAAGGGCCTGAATCAGATTCGAACCCAGGCTGCTGTGGTAAGGACTGAGCCTAAATGGTATACGCTGTACCAGGTGAGCAACTGGGGTGCCCCCAAGTTTGAATCCATTTGAATGCAACCTACATTAGGAAATCATCACTGTTCCTCTGCCAGCTTATTTGGTGACTATAATAGTTTACCTCAGATTTGTTGTTGTTGTAATACAGACAGGTGCTTTTTAAAAGGCAACAAACCTGGTATTTATTGACAGATTTTAGACTGGACCTCAAGCCAGTATGTTGGTGTGTTTTGTTAACCTTTCTATTGTTCTAGAGATGATAACTGTGTGAACACTTGCACTTCACCGTATGTTCTTCTGAGATCAGCTGTGAGGCTAACATCTTCTATGCTTCATTTTAGACAGATCCGGGACACAGTGAACTGGATATTTTGTGAGCAGATGTTGGTGTGTTACATCAGTGTGTTCAGGGATACCTTCTGGCCCAATGGGAAGTTGGCACCACATGTCAAGGTCCGAACTGACTCTGAACGCAGTGAAACTAAGGAACGGGCTCAACAGAAACTACTTGACAACATCCCAGGTATGAAGATGTGTAAACATGACTTTAAACTGCAGACTGCTGTTTTATTCAGGGGTGTGTTGTATGATGATCACAAACATTAGCAATCAATTTAGCTCTTTACTTTATTTGATCTCTTCTGTCAGATGCACTAGCAAATTTAGTTGGCCAGCAGAACGCCCGCTATGGAATCATCAAGATCTTCAATGCCCTGCAGGAGGCTAGTGCCAACAAACACCTTCTCTATGTAAGAACAACACTTCATATGTTTTATTGTCATTGTCATAAAAACAGATTTCATAATATATAATTGCAGCTGAAATTTTAAATTATTTTTTTTCCTGTGTCTGTTAGGTGTTGATGGAAATGTTACTCAAGGAACTGTGTCCTGAACTCAGCGCAGAGGTGGAAAACATCTGAACACACTCAACACACACAGTCTGGGTGAAACTGAGGCTCTGCTGGTTCATCTGTTAGGCCTCTCTGTAGCTGACCAATCGTACACTGCCAAGCTAGACAGGGAGATGGCCTTTTGGTTAAACCTCAGACAGAAAGCAGCTGTGTTAGTCAGAGCTGAGACACATGCTGATTCTATTGGTAGAACTTTGCTGTGAAATGATGAAAAGCTGGGCTGACACCACACTGAAGAGGGCGGACATTTGACTTTGTTGTGGTACAGATCTAAATTTGTCTGAACGGGGAGAAACCACATGGAGTCTGACTTCTTCCAATTTAGACACCAAGTCTAACAAGACCGATCACATTTGTACCAGAATGATCACATGAACACAAGAACAAATATTTTGGACATTATGTGACCCACGTCTGCAGTTGTCTTTTCTTATTTCATTAGCACTGAAACATCAGATCTATACCACAACAAATGTAATCTTTTGTTCCTGTGTAAATCGTGACAGCCTATAAATTGCAAGGCAGAGTAACAGTTTGTGAGAGTAAACAACTTGATTGTTTGGTCATCATTGTCTAGAGCTGATAATCTACAGACCTTGATTAAAAACAGCAAACAAAGAAAGTTGAAGTTCAGATTCTCTGTTGCCCTCTAAAGTCAACCAGTGTGTGTCATTGCCCACGGACCTCTGAACATTCCTCCTACACACAACCTGAGCAACAACACTTGTGTTTTGTGATTCTTGTTAAGGCTTATAATTGTGCAATATAATGTCATGTAAAAGTCATTGTGATGATTTTATTTATGATTATTATTGATAGATTTTATTTTTACCAAAAATTGTTTAGAGAGAGTTTATATAAGCAATAAATTGCAAACAAAAAGTTGATGTGGCATTTTTTTTTCTTATAGTGGTCAAAGACTAAAATATTAGCCCATGTATTAATATTATAAATATCATACCAGTGAATTTTTTTTAATATATTAACCTATTTTCTACCATTCATGTATAGCATGGAATAAATTTAGTTTTACGTTTAAATTATCTAAAAAAAAAAAGCTTGCTAATACCACTAGAGACTAAATGGATTAATAGGACTAATCCATGACCCAGTTTTGAATGCGGTTGGGGCTTCATTTCTCTCTTCCCACAAACAACATAATGGTGTGACTGCAAAGGTTTTTGGCTTTAACAGTTCACTTGACGTGAATGCAACATGTGTTCCCCAAAGGGTGGGTTGAGTCTAAAGAGGAGGTGGGCTTGAACAACAATTACCTCCGGTAACAAGCAATGTTCACTACTGAGCCGCAATCCGTCTAGTTAGAGAAAGTATGTGGCAAAAGACAGGAAGTACTGGACTATGCTTTCAAAATAAGAGCCTACATTGTGTCACTTAGGGGAAGAACACTTGGCTCTACGCAACATTTCTCCTTCTAACCTTGGAAAAATAACGGTTTGTGGCAGTTACTGAAATTTCTAAAGTTCCAGCATAGTAAGACTAAGATTTGTACTCTCAGCCATGGGAACTTGAAGGTGACAAGATGCATGTGCACACAGAATGGTAAGAAAGAGGCTGCCATGGCAATGTCTTGCACACTAGCAACATGGTAGGTAAACATCGCCATTGGTATAACATCAAAGCTTTGATCAGCTTCACCAAAAAATGTTGATTTGTACTGGCTCTGAAGTATAGATGGGAATCAGTCGACACAATAGTATCATAATATATGAAATTGTCATAATGAAAGTTATACACAAGAGGTGACATATTTCATGACAGCCATCCAAACTGTCACAATATCTGTGAAAATGAAAACTTCTTAAATGGTGTAAAGAGCAGAAACCTGCCTGAATTATGAAATACCTTTTTTTTTTTTTTTTTTAAATTTCAGATTCCAGAAATTCAAAATTGAAAGTGCATGAAACCCATTTAACACCGAAAGCCACATCTCAATGCTCTGACTTACATAAACAGTATAAACAGCTGAATTATAAAACCGTTAACAAGGGTGGACCGAGTAGCACGTTTTCTAGCACGGGCTTTTATTTTGACGGTTGAACCCGGAAGTACTGCAGCATTGTGATGAACTTGTTTGTGGTCTTCGGCTCAAAAGGCACCGCCAACATTTTTAAGCTAGCTAACGTTGCCTTCTTCGGCAACGTCTTAATCAAACCCCGCTGAACGGTAGGTTTTGTTTAATGTTAACTGCAGTAAAACTCATGGTTACTATAGGTAGTTAACGCTAGTTGGGGAGGTACTGGCCATTAGCTAAGGTAAGCTTTACTAGTTTTTGTTATTTGCTATACTTTGGGTTTACCTTTCATTTATCAAGGCTAACAGGCTAGCTAACTGAGTCTATGGTTACTCTTAACTAACTACACAAGTATATTCCGCACAATTTGTTAAAGTTACTATTAGTTGTCATAATTACACAATGGCATTGGTATTATGATAACCGTTAAGTTAACGCTATCAAGGAAAGTGACGCTATCGTGTTCATCATGGTTGCTTAACAACAGAAAATTAAAGAGACAGTATCATTACCAACTTAGCTGTAAATCAATTTGGTTCCCAGGGAAGGATCTATATGTAAAGCCGACTGACGTGTATCTGACCCCATGCAGTAATGTTGTTTTGGCATCAGCTGAATAGGGTCATATTAGCGTCTCTGGTACATGTGGCCACTATTTCTGCCCTGTGCTTCAAAAACATAAAATTCAATGGCACCTAAGACAGTATTGAAAGGCTCAAACCTTTCTTGGATTCATCAGCTCCACAGATAATACACCATACAAGTGAACTGCAAAGTGTACCACACCAGTACAAAATCGATAATATGTTTTCATTCCAGCCTGTAGATGATTGAGTTGATGGTTAGCACTCTGACTTACTTAATTAAAGAGGAGGAGCTAATTAATGAGATGACCTCCCTTAGTGTTTGGCTGAGATAAAGCCTGTATATATTTAGCCCTCCATGGCAAACAGTCGAGCACTCTTAATGAAGCTTTTTGAGGCGTATTAAATAATAATCCGTAATAAAAGTATCAAATTTACATCTTGGAGTCTTTTAACATCTACACTGATTTAAATTAAGCTGTCTTTGCAGTAGTGATGAGTGTAAGCAAGCATGGCGTTTTGTGTTCTCAGCTGGGTTGTACTACTTTGCCAAATGGAGATGGATGATGAGCTGGAGAACTTCATCAGAGAGCGGAAGGCAAGAGTGGCTGAGGATAAAGCCAGTCTAGATCAAGACCCTCCTTACATGGAAATAAAGGTGTGTCTGCATGATGATTGCTAAGTTATCGGTTATGAACTGGTTCACTTCTGATTTATTCTGATAAATTCTTACGTATATGACTACGTTATATTTAAAGCCTTTAGTTGTACTCAATAATATTTATTTATTTATTCATTCATGCCAAACACCAAAACGGTACAAAAACCATAAAACATTCACAAGACATACAACATTAAACAGTACATTAAAGTGTACACGTGAACAAAACAGCAACAATAACTTGAATTTCGAATAAATGAAATAAGAAGACTATATCAAAGCGAAGCCAAAATGAGACAATTAACACAAGGTAAGCAAGAAGGGCTAGAGGTATGATGCACAGCATGTCAGAATTTTGTAGATTTTGTTTTTCCTCTTTTTTCTTTATTTCTTCCTTTCATTCCCTCCCTTTTCCCTTCTCCTTTATTTCTTTCTTTTCCCCATTTTTTTTCTCTCTTTCCCTGCTCTTTTATTGTCTTCTGTCATGTCCTCTGTTGATCTTTTTTCTTTTTCCTTCTTTCTTTTCCTTATTCCATATTTTTAGTAGTGTTTGGGGGGGTACATCGTCTCATTTGTGATGGCGTGGTTGTTGTTTATATTTATTTGTTTGGAAATATAAAATTATAATAGAGTACTGAGATGACCCTTTTGTAGTGATCCCAAATATATATATATATATATATATATATATTTTAATGCATGATCTTCCTCTACTTTTGACTGATAGGCAAAACCCCACAGAGCCTGTGGGTCTACTGTTAAGGAGAACATCCCTCCCAAGTCTATTGCACAGGGGAAAGGTACAGTACATGACCACATTTCCCTCCTTTTAATCCTTATTGTTTTAGACCTTAAGTCTAATAGTAACCTATGAAGTGTCTTGATATGATATGTCATATGAACAGTGTGTGTCAGGTTAGATGTTTGTTTAAAATGGCAGTTTTAGCATGAAACTCTTCACCTTGTGTATCTATTAAATATTAATGGTTGTGTTTTGTCAGAGGAGAGTTGCAGTGTGGGTCTACCGCTTGGCGTGGAGTACGAGAGGAAAAAACAGAGGCTGCAGCATGAGCTCCGTATGGACTACAGGCGCTACATGGCTCAGGTGACTCACAGACTTACCTGTTTACCAATGTATTTGGCTGTAACAGACGAGCTTGGAGGTCAGTTAATTTTTGTTGTTTGTTGTTTATCTGGCAAGTTTTTCATTCCAGTTTTACATTGGGCTAAATTTTTGATACAGATGTTTTGTAACAGTAAAATTCCAAATATTAGGGCGGAAGTACTTGTATTTTTTGCACATATTGTATTATATGCTTTAAATGCAGAGGTCCACTGAAAACATGTTGACTGTAGTGAGAGCTTTGTGTGGTGTTTGCATTTCATTACTGAAACACAAACAGAAGCTGTGATCCAGGGCTGGATCCAATGAAATCAGCATTTCTAGGCTGAGAGTATGTTGTGTCTGGCGAACAGTACTTGTCCTATTTCAAAGACCCCTCCAAATGAGGTCATGAAAAGAAGCAGCCCTTTGTCAGTGTCTTGGGACACAGTTGGTATATCCTTTGTAGCTCTCAGTATCCCTTAATCCATATGGTGTTCAGGTATCTTCAGCAGCTTGTACAGTCTGTAAGTATCACATCACCAAGTTGTGTTTACCAGGTATTTGAATTCAATCAGGTGTCAATCATGAAAAAGCTACTGCAGGATGTAATTAATATGGAAACCCAACATAAACTCCACTCCTTGTTAAGGACATGTTGTTAATCAGTGTTATGGGAGGAAAATAAAGTATAGAAATATAGTATATCTATCATTAAAGGAGCTATTTGTAAGATTTGCTATTGCTACACAGCAAACGTTAGCATTAACAGCTTACTAGTTTACATACCAGTTTAGAAGAAATGTTGCAAGTTCAGCATCAAACTTAATTACTTTACTCACCAAGCGCTGTCTCCAGCAGTGGGAACTGGCACTCTTGTTTGGCTTCGATTTCTATCACTTCTTTTCTTCCACTAGAGTTAGCCCTGGCCTCGTTGGCCTGTCCCTGTAGTGTAGTGCTGCTCAGAGGGCATATTATAACCTTTTGTATTGTAAATGCAAAGATATCTGAAGCTCTTGGCAAGACTGGTAGGTCAACGGCTGTTAATGCTAACGTTGGCTATGTAGAAATAGCACAACAAATAGCTCCTTTAACCTGGAATACTGAATGTGTTAAAGTTGAATAGCACAAATTGCACTGTAATGTTGGGTATCATTTACAGAGATATTTTACAGGAAGGTATAATTGAAGATCCATTCTTTGGGTTGGGGCTCAGCTGTTTGCTTCTTCAGCTTTAGATTCCAGCTGTAACTTGGTGCTGTACCTTGATGATAACGTTTTATTTTACAGAAAAAACACTTTGACCATGCAGAACCCGGACCATTAATTCACTTTGATAACAGGAGGTCTGTAAAGGTAAATATCTCTCTTTATTGACTTAATTATCTCAGTTGATTTGAAAATAATTGTCTTTGGCCAGACGGTATAATTGTTTTTCCAAAAACCTGACTCAGTTGTTGGAATATCACAAATTTAACTAAGAATCTTCACTGTTTTACTAAGAAAATAACTGAGCTTCCTCATTATTACTGGATAGCTGCTAGAATATATGTCAGAACAGACTAAGAAATACAGAATCCTAGCACTAACGTTCTCATTCATTCTTTATGGATTATGATTTAATGAAAGATCTGAAAGGCCTCTATGTTTCCCAGGATGTAGACAAAACACAGTTCAGGAACATTGTGAAAAAGGGTAGTAATAACTATTGTCTGGAGCAGTGACTCTCAACTAGGGGTACTTGAACCCCAGGTGGTTGTTCTGCAGTTGTCAGGGGATAGCAGATCTAGGTCAGGTACAATAAATTGTAGTTTCGATTGCACCCAACTTGATATTCATGCTTGAAACAGTCAATGTGTACCTGATTATAGTAACTTCACACCCTATTTCTTTTATTAAACATGCATTGCCTGTTACAATCATGTTTCCTCTAGCAACACCTGCTTGGAGACCAGACAGGTGTTCTTCCCAAACAGCGACCCTCGTCATGGAGGGATGCAGCCACTCTGACAGAGGACAATAAGGGGCTGCAGAGGGCTCTGCGCCTCGCTGAGGTTAAGACCCTCTATCCTGAGGAGGAAGAGGAGCAGTTATCACTGACTCCTAGGCTTCATGACAGGCTGGGGAGGCCAGTGGACCAGGACTCAGAGGAAGAGGAATACTTCAAGGAGGAACTGGAGCTGATGGAAGGCAGAAGGTGCAGACATATGGGGATAGAGGCCAGTTATCCTAAGAGAAGAACCAATAAGACAGATGGCAGGTTTGTGGGGGAAATTAACCATTGTGTCTTTGTGTGTATGTTAAGCATGTCATAAAATGGCATCATAGCCTTGTTTGTTTTTATTCATTCATTTCTTTCAATCTTTTTTACTTGGCTTTTCCCAGGGAGAAGAGAGAGAATCCTGCAGGTTTTGCCAGAGAAGGCAGGAGATTGAGAGCACTGACCAAAAATGACGATGCTGAGTTTGCTACTGGCCTGATAATAGGTTAAAGGATGTTTTACATTTTGCAACTGTACAGATATCAAAGGTCCAGCATTTGATTAGCATTCATGAATGCACAAATCAATTTATTACTTCTGAAAGAATAGTTCATTAAGTTATTGTCTAGTAAAGACAGAGACTAGTTTTTTTTTTAATCAGTTTTCTGAAATGATGGATTATAATTTTAAAATATTAAAAAAAAAAGCTAGCTAGCTTTTGCCAAACTGTCGAAAGAAATGATAGCCTCTTGTTGTCCCATCATTTCAGGAGCAGTTGATACAGATGAGGCTTTGCAGAGGAGGAAGGAGCGCTACAGACAGGAGCTGCAGGAGCAGATAGCTGAACAGCACAGGAACAAGAAAAGGTAATTTGTCAGTGATCTTTGTCCAGGTGTTACATTGTACATGAAATGACCATGTTACAACCATCTTGGCAACACCTCATGTATCTGTCAAGAATCTTGTATCCTCTTGAAGTGTTATTGAGCAAAACACTGAACCTCTGCTTGCTCATTTCTTAAACACCCCTGTAGATGTCATTAAATGCTTAATATCTGTAACTCATGTAAAACAACAGTATATGTGTGTCCTTGTTGCAGGGAGAAAGATTTGGAGCTGAAAGTTGCTGCGACGGGGGCGAATGATCCTGAGAAACAGGTCAGCTGGCACATGACAACCAACTCTCATTTACTTTGGGTAAAATAATTACTTTTTAAGATCCGTCAGTGGATACAAATTCTCAAATTCACTGACCTTTTATTATTTTACCCTCAGCCATCTTTGAGGAACATAATCTGTGAAGGATGGTCTGCCAGCATGAGTGATATTTTTATTCAAAGAAAACTATCTAGGCACTTTTTAAAATCTAAATAATCAATTGGTTGTTCAGAAAATTTCATTATAATGTAATGGGAATTAATTTTTAGTATACAGTGTTATTATGCTGCTAATGCTACTTCAGTTGATCCTGGAGTATCAGTAAAAGATGTTTGTCTTTACTAATTTATTTATTTTCTGCAATCCACAAACCAGCCAGACCGAATCAGACAGTTTGGACTGAGCAGGAGAAAAGATCCTCAGGTTTTGGAGCCTTCAGCAGCAGGAGAGAGTGAACTATCATCCAGAGGTCCACCTCATAATGAGAAGATTGTAGTTAGAGAAAGAGAGGTCCCTCCTCCTGAGCAGCCTCATGTAGCCTTTCAGTCCCCCCTGCTGGAGTACAGCTCTGCTCTGGGCCTGGGAGGAGGAGGTTTGTCTCCCAGCAGTCAGCCTGCTGCCCCCTCCTTCTCCAGAGCCATGGACACTCCCAGGTATACCTTCACTTTTTAAACCTTGCATATCTTTAGCTGTTATGACTATGAAATGTTCAGCTCAAGATGATCTTATCGTCATACATAACCACAGCCAGAAAAATAACATCTACTGAAAGTTCTGGATTTGCAAATTGTTTTTTGTCTCTAGGATTCCTTTGTTCCATCCACATCCTCCCTCAACACTCAATGAAGCTTACAGGAGCCCGTATGGAGAACCTCATCACTGCTATGGCACTAGAAACCTGCTTGACCCAAACATGGCCTACTGTAAGCACTGGTTTCCTCTGTTAAATGGGATAAATACGGCTTTAGTGAATATATTGGTAATAGGCTATACAAAAAAAATTTACATTCAGCATCATCATACTTTTAATGTGTAATCTTTCTGTACAGATGGTCATTTATCTGTTCCCGGTGCCGGCCTTCCCATGTCCTACTGGAACGTACCACCAGGTGGAGGTGTGCCCAGCCAGTTTGGTAACCATAGCCCTCACAGCCAGCACAGTGGAAGCAGCTTCCCTGAGCCACCGATACAGTAAATATCTCCTCTTCACTTGTATGTTGGCCTGGAAAGCAGGGTGAGAAAATAATTAACAACCAACATCCAGGTGTCAGAAAATTTACCTGCTTTACCAGCACATTGATCATTTGGTGCTCCTGTCAACTCAACACAAGTCGTGTCAGTGAAAGAAATAGTTTTGCAGCATATGCTTGTGAGCAAAATAAAAGAAGACAATTGTGTACCCTCTTGTAATTTGCCAAACAGGATGGACAAGGCATTAGCACATGTTTGTGTCATTAAGGGTGGCATTTTAATGCCCCATAAATTGGAGTAATGTCTAGTAGAAATAATGGACCTGCTAGATGCTGTTTTAGTGAGAGAGGGATGTAATAAGACACAGTAACAGGACATTCTTATTAAAACAGTAAAGCAAACCTCATGGTCAGATGTGAGTGCTGTGATTCTGTATCTTTCTTTACAGGCCCAGCAATGAAGCTGCCACTGTGGACTCGCAGGTCAGGGTTTTCCCCTCAGAGAGATCCAGGGCAACCAGGGAGAGGATACTGAGCTACAGAAATGCTCTCAAAGAACAGGTAAGTTGACTAATTTTGAATCTACATTATTACTATTTTCCTAGATTGGGTTTCTGCCCCTAACCACCATCACCATCCATTAGAAGTACAATTTATCTTTAAAATACAAGAAACTATAGTCCTGATTTATGCATGTATTATGGTAACATATCTAACAAGTTGATCAATGAATGTGCTTTTTGTCAAACTAAGACTAAAGGAGAGCAAAATGTTGTTGTATGTGAATTAAACTGAATTAATCAGAGGGAACATCATTAAAACACCAGACAAGAACCTCCTTGTTCTTTCTTAGCATTTCAGAGGAGCACTGTTGTGAGAATACTGACTGTGGTCTTCATTTTTAGTTGTTCTTTGAAAGTTGATTTTTAAAAGTTTGTAACACATAGACTGAAAGATTGGGCATTTGGGCTTTGATAGTTATCACATTGCAACCTTCATTGTATAGAGTAGGTTGTGTATGACCAGTATCATCTTGGCACAGGTCCTAGGTTGGAAACAGCACTAGCAGGGAGTCAAAGCAAAACTAGTGGCAGATAACTGGCAGAAGAGTTTAATTCACTGCATCCTAGTCTGTGATATGTTGGCAGGACGCTTCCAGGAGAGGGAGCAGCAAGCTTTACAACAAGGTAAAATAGATCTAGTTAAGACCAAAAAGATATTGTGTAAGTTAATTACCTGCTTAGAAAATCATTAATATGCTTAATAATAGAGTTGGCAGTAGAAGTGTTTGTGAGATCCCCCTGTATTCAGGTGTTGCTTCATGTGGCAGTACCACCTCAATCCCATCCCACTCCCTGCTATTTTCCCTCTAAATAAAGCAACAAAAATCCTCTCTGCCTTTCTCCTCCGCTTGTTGGCTTTGCAAAGGAATCACGAAAGACTTGCATAAATCTTTTCCAGCTACTCACTGTTTACTTTGGTTGCCTGTCATGGTGTAGGAACGTAATTCTACTTGAAAACTCACTGTGGTATCCGTTGTACCTTTTTGTTTCAACCGTGTTGTATGTACAAATATGTTTTGGAACTGATGGTTCATGAGCTGCATCTGCAGCCTCCTTTTTTATAACAATGCAATAATAATAATTGAAACAAAAGGTTAAAATGAACTTGCTACATTAAATCTCAAATTTTAACAGTTGTTTTGGCATCATGATCATACCATGTTACTGAAATTCATCTCTGACAGGTTATGACGGTTGGCTTGGTTTTTATATATTTGGATTTACACAGGAAGCATCTTGGAGACTTTTTTTTACAGTAACACAGTTCACTAAAAAGCAATATAATTATTTTTGATCACCAAGGCTTTCTTAATGCATGACTGGGTGAGCTGGAGATGATTTGTATTTATACACAGCAATGAGAAATGCAGATACTGCTGCGAAGAAAATTGGCTACTGATAAAACACTCTGAAAATTTAAGATTTTTATCATCTGAGGATTTTGATGTAGCTGTGAAAATACTGTTCTGCAGATCCAGGAGCAACAGGAAAGGAGGCGTCTGGAGGAGGAGGAGAGGGAGCGTTATGAGGCCCAGATGGAGGCTGACATGAAGAACCACGAGCCGTGGGGTCGAGGTGGAGGAGGAGCCCCTCTCAGAGACAGCACTGGAAATCTCATTGGTAGGTGCCAATGTGTAGTTTCTTTTTTTTTTTTTTTTTTAAGAAAAAACAATGCCTGTACAAAGGATAACTTGCTCTTTCTGTTGCCCAGCCGACCTCAACCAGATGCACAAGCTGAATGAGGAGGCCTACAGCAACCCGGAGCAGTGGCAGAGGAGAGCCACGGCTGCCATGACAGCACGGCAGGCAGAGCACCCTGACCCCAGCGAGAGGGTCTCTGGTACTGTAGCAGAGTGCAGTATCCATGACTCTAGAGACAGGATCTCTGGTACCGTAACCAGATTTATTCTTGATTCATTTAGCAGCGTTCTGCCATTAGAATAGTTTTGGCATCACATTTTAGTTTTTAGCAACTAGGATTATAAAGGTCTTATGGATGCGGCTCTGATAAATGTTTTATTGCTATGGTGACTGCCAAGACATTAACACTGATATTTTGATCATGCTTTCCACACACTCACAAAGCACTGCAAAGGACAAAGAAACAGACTGACACTAAGTGCTACCTCTACGAATGTCTGTAGCTCATTCAGGTCTACATATTTGTTTCTCAACTGAGAAAATAACACTAGCACCATGACACGGTAGTTAAGGTCTGTGCTACATCTTCTAACAGTCACATCATTGGCTACAAGTCAGTGAGGTTCTTTGGTCTGAACTCACAGTTGAATTTCTTCATGTTTTCCTCTTTGTAAAGGGTTCACCCATGTCCAAACCCCCCAGTTTGCCAGAGGCAATGTGTTTGCCAACCAGCCCACCAAGCACCAGCTCCAGGAGCAGGACAAGTACAAAGCTTACCTCAAACAGCAGGTATGGCTTCAAACAGCTGGTGGTACTTCTGCGGGCTGTGTTTGTATGGTAGGCTGTCTTGTCCAGCATCACTCCTGCTGGCAGCCAACCACGTTTTAGGGATTGTGCTCTGTAGAAAACTGAGTTAGCTGCTTGTGGAATAGTGCAAGTAAATTTTGAGTTCACCAGGACAAACCAGAAAGAGTTTTGTTTCCTGCCTTGATAGAAATTTACCCCAGCCTGCAAATAAAAGTAGCATGGGGTTGTTTTAATGGGTTTATGTTGTCTTGTTAATCTGTATTTGTTAACAGATTGAGGAGAAAATGCGTAAAAAGGCAGAGGAGAGGGAGCAGACCAGACTGGAGGAGGAGAAGGAGGAGAAGAGGCTGGCGGAGCAGAGGGCTCGCATCCAGAGGGAGTATGAGGAAGAACAAGAGAGGAAGAAACGAAAGGAAATGGAGGTATGGGGCTAAAGAACAGCGCCATGGGCAGGGTTTGCACCTGCTTTTTATACAAGGCTATAGCAAAATAGTATATATCCATCACTGCCTTCTTTTTTTTCCTTGTATTTCTCTCAGCAAAAGGCCAAGAATGAAGAGCTAATTCAGCTTGCTGAACAGAGGAAGAAGGAAATGGACAGGAAGAAGAAAGAAGCAGAAGAGATGGAGAACGCAGCACTGAGGAGGCAGTATGAGAGGGAGAGGCAGGCTCGGGTGGAGGAGGTTAGTTCAATGATGCCTCCATCACACTACAATTTTAGTAACATTAAAAGTTAGTCTGAATATTATTTGATTATTATTATTATTATTATTGATTATTTAATTAATTACTTTTTTTTTACCATGCTAGTGTAATTGTTATAAACTTATCATATGGTAATCTAACCAGTAGATTTCCACTACAACCTGTGTAATTTTGGTCAATATGAGAGGATAAAACATCTTCTTCATCTCCTCCCTGAGACCAACATTTCATATTCTAGAGTAGAAAAACATCAAGGATGATGATCCATCTGATCAATTGTTGCCTCAGGTCTGGTTTAAGTTTCCTCAGCTTTACATTCTTTATTGATCAAACTGAAGGGAAGTAATCAAGACAAGTTGTTTTCATAAGGATAATTTGTCAGGTGTGTTCATTTGATCTTGGACCTCCTGCTCCCTCAGCAACTACTAGACCAGGCATGGACAATGTAAAATGGAGTGAATAAATGGGTTTTTAATGATCAATCAAACACTAGCTTTTTTTCCCTTCTCAGTTGAATATGTCCCAAAATTATTCTTTGCAGTAGCTTAGTATGAAATAAAACCTTCAGACTGTTCAGTCGATTGGCTACAAATAGTAACAAGGGACATTCTAGTTAACTGTAATGTAGTGAATGGGTGACTGTTTTCTCTAGGTCCACAGGGAGCCTTCGCCTCCAATCCCCACCCTGCAGAAGAAACATGGGCTACATCAGTACACCCCCAGACCCCCTACTGTTGACAGCCAGCATTCTACTGCCCCCCTGTCTGTGAGTCTCACACACACACACACACACACACACACACACACACACACACACACACACACACACACACACACACACACAACATCACAAGCGTCTCCACAGGTATTCCTACACGTCTGCATTGCCTTAAAAGAAATGTGGCTTGTTTTTGTTGTTTTCGAGAACACATTCGACAAAAACTTTCTTTCTCTGTATAACAGAGGATGTTTTCTCAACAACGTCGACATTGGATAAATAAAGGTTAATGATGTGTTCTTTCTCCTGCTGGGTATCTCTCTTTTCATACCTTTGTCACTCATCTCTCTGTGTTTCAGGAGCGCTCTTTGTCTGGTCTCCAGTCCCCTCCTGTCCCTGCTTGTAGGAACCAGCTCCGAGCCGCAGGTACTATATACGTGCACTCACATACACACTTTACTTGGATCAATATGTGTCAATTAAGATGAGTCATTTGAGCAAACAACACAAATCTGCAGTGTCTTAGTTCCGCAGGGGTTGTTGATGGTTCACATCTGTGATATTATGTAGTTGTTGAAGGTTAGTACTGAGAATTGGTATTTTTGTGTGCATGTGTGTTTTCAGGTGATCAGCGTGATGTGTTCAGTGAGCTGTCAGCTTTGCGTCGGCAGCTTCGCAGTGAACAAAAACGGTTGGAGGGTCGTCTGCAGCAGGGCGACTGGGAGGAATTAGACTCTCCTCTGAGTGACAGGTCAGACCTGGCAGATGTATCACTCCGGCTGATTTATCAATGTGATAAATAATATTTATATTTATATGATAAATAATATTTATCACATTGAGTGCAGCATTTTGTTGACATATTTATAGGTCCCTTACCTTCATGCTGATACATGGACCTGACTACAAGTTGGAGATGGTTGTGGATCCACCTCCTGTACATTACATGCTTAGATATTTGCTACCTGTGACAGTGGGGCTGATATTGTTTTCACCTTGTGAATTTTGTGTGTGTGTCATCATGGCAAAATGTTGTCCCGGGAACTACCACAGATGTGGTTTTTCAGTACTGTGGCAGGTGTTTATATGTCTGTCTGTGGACAGGTTTTATCACCAGGATGTGCAAGATTCTGTCACAAAACTTTTAACAGATGTTTAGTTGTGATGAAGGCTGAGTTTGAAGATGGGTGTGGTCTGACCCTTTGACTACTCAGTACACAAATGGGCAAGACCACAACGTGCTGACAGCTGTCGCGGCTGGTGTGATACCATCGCAAAATGGTCTCTAGTTTATTTCACTTCCCAAACAGGAATACTTGTACACCAAAGTAATTGGGGAAAACAACAGAAACTACAATTTTAGTTAAAAATTCAGTCCTCATATTGAGTCAGCTGGAACACTTGAACACCATGTGTGGAGAGTACACGTGAACTAGTAAGCAAGTGAGCAAAGAAGTTAAAACAGTTATTTTAGACGGATAGCTAAGGTAATGAATAAGCAACTCAAATACTTTAAAGTGATGGATTAATGGTTGAAATTGATAAAAGTGATGGATAAATGATGAAAAAGCTGAAACTAATTGTTAAAGATTTAAAGTGGTTTTTACTCTGCTGTGACAGACAAATGCTTACACACAAAACTGAGTCAGTGTGTTTTTGCTTGTCTTAATTTGTCCAGGCTTCGGGAGCGTCCCCAGGTGGATGTGTTTGACATGGCCAGGCTGCGGCTCCAAGCTCCGGTCCGAAGGCCCAACTCCAGAAACATGGAGCCTAGAAACTTAATGCGAATCCACGACTCCCTTCAGCTCAAATACACAGGTAGTTGACCGCTTTTAGAATTCTTAGTTGCACTCCACTACAAGTTAATGTTATCAGCCATAAGTGTTTGCTATGTGCATTTGTGACTCAGAAGGGAAGTCAAGGCTGGGCTCCAGTGAGGTTCCAAAGCTGGAGGATGTAGGTGTGACCATCAAGAGGAGGCACGACTACAGGGATCCATATCACCAGCTCAGCAGCCAGAGGTCCACAGTTCAGGATGGTTAGAGCTCTTTATCCTGTTGCAGTTGTTTCACTGACTATTTTTGTTTACATATGCTTTGCTAGGTTTACATTTGGAGATTTATTTTCTAATGTGGATGTTGAAGATCATTATACCATTTATACCTGGTGACCTGTATCTTGACAGTGAAACCTGATCTACAAATGTTTGCTTCTATACCTTGTATAGTATGAAAACAAAAGAAGGTAAAACAAAAAAAAAATGTCCTTCTTGTGTCACAGATTATTTTGACCTGTCCCCACCACAGCAAAATGATTATCTGGTGAGTTGAAAAGAAATGGTTTGATTTTAATAATTCATTTTTAAATTGTCTACATGGTTTATAAACTGTATCCACTAACTGTAACTATTAGAGATGAGTCATGAAAAGAGTTGTGTGTATTTTGCAGAGGAGTGTGATGGGAGGATCTGCAAGAGGTTCTCTGCTGGAGTCAGAGAGTGCGTTCATTGGTAAGACCACCATTAAATCAAGATGTGCAACTCTTTTTTTTTTTTTTTTTTTTTTTTTTTTTTTTTTTTTTTTTTTTTTTTTTTTCTTTTCTTTTTTTTCCCACCATTTTTATTCGAATGATTCAATACTGATTAAGATTCCAAGACTGATCTTTGCATTTGAGTCTTTTCTCAGTTAACATGTACATCTGTGTTAAATGTTCTGTGTATGCACTGGTTACTTCTTGTAAATGGTTCAGTTAGGACCACATGATGTATAAAATGTCTACTTTGTGGAAATCATGCACAAAAAGATTATTTTAAATCAAAAAGTATCATGGATGATACCTGCTATAGGAACTGCATTGAGTAATGACAGTTTCTGTTTTCATAATGAGATCTTCTGTCAGACCATCCTACACGAACACTGGCTCTTAAATGTCAGTTGTAAAGCTCAAATCATGTTTGTTCATCTAAAACAACCTTATAGGAAATGGTTACTTAAATGTACCTTAAACAAATTTAGATCTATAACATATTTGTTTAACAATGAAGGACAGATAATTCAGCTGTGAATTATTTAAGTATCCAGTATCAACAGGATGACGTAACTATAAAGGAATGGAACCAAGAGGGAAGACATGTACTGTATCTTCTATGTTTGTGTAGAGATGCCTTGGGCTTATTTTTCTTTTGATTGTGTGTGTTGAGACCCCCTAGGCGATGCCTTTCCAGTGCCCCGCACCCCAGAGTTTGAGAAGACCCCCCACCTGTCGGCCAGGGAGAGGAGGAGGCTGGCCAAACAGTCACAGCATCTTCAGGTTCTCTGCTTAACACACCATCACACACCTCGCAGGTTTCTGACATGTGTTATGGTGTAGCCTGTGAGCTTAACAGCTACAATTATGTAAGCTACAACATTAATGATATTTTGAAATCAAAGTCTTATTCTTTTGTCTTGTGGTTGGTTCAGGAACGAGCTGCTTCCGTTGGCCAACATGACGACTACTCCACTCACACAGGTAACAGGCTGCAGCAGGAGGTGGAGCAAAGGAGTGAGGGGAGGAGCCGGGACAGAACAAGTCTTCTAATGGCTCTGAGTCGTCGTGGCAACACTGCAGGTGTGACTGGGGAAAAATTGATTACTGGTGGTTATGTTTTGTGTAATTTATTTAAGTTTCATTGTAGGAAAACAAATATCAGCAAAGCAATTTTTCATGAAAGTAGAAGAGTATTTTTCATAGATGTCTGAATTAAAATTCTACATAAGAGCTTTAATGGGTTTCAAAAGCCCAGAGGTGATTATATTCAGCCACTATTCAAATAGCCGTGGAAACTGTTTATTCTAGTTGGATAAAGAATAACATTACTATTATTATGCAACAAATATTTGTCCACATACCAAACGCAGTGGGTTCTGCTGCAGTTCATGCAGGGTGATGCTGTAATGGAAAACTTGGCTTAATGATGCAGTGTGATACTTTAAGTGTTTGACTCTGTTTGTTTCCCTGCTCCTGTTCTTCAGGACCAGTGGATCTGTCTGATGACGACTCCTTCCCCCCTCAGTTTTCACTTCACAATCTTAACCATCAAAGCTCCGTAGAAACTGTCGCCACTGATCCCTGGATGCGGCCAGGAACATCGGACACACTTAAATGTTTGGACCGTCCATCGAGGAGGGAGCGGTTGGTGACATAGGACCCCGTTCCCTCAAGCCTGAGAGGTCCCAGTTGTAACAGACTCCGAAGTCTTTAAATGATGAGATTATGGTTGGTTTTAACTCATGAATGTCAGTATGAATGTCTGAAAAATGCTACCTACTATGTACTTTTTAAAAAAATCATTGTTTACATCAAACAGTGACACACATGTTCCCTAAATTATGTTTTAAATAAATTATTTTAATTATTAACTATGTATTTAGATTCTTTACATCCTTTGACAAGGCATCATTCATTCAACTTTACAAAAGCTTTACATTACTTACACATTACTTTTATGAAATGTAAGTTTTTACGTAGTTAAACTCTGATGTCTGTATGTTAGATATGACACTATAGCCAGCAGCCAATTGGCTTAGCTTAGCATAAAGACTGGAAATGGGGGAAACTGTTAGCCTGACTCTGTCCAAAAGTAACACAACTTGCTAACCAGCAGCTCCAAAGATGACAGCTTTACATGTTATTTCACTTATGTTTAATCCATACGCAAACTGAAGTGTGAAAATGTCAAGTTGTGGTTTTACATGTGATTTATGTGCTGGACTGTTTCTTGGAAGGACACCGACTTCCTGACAAAATATAGTAAATAGTGTATTTTCCAAAATGTTTAACTCTTCCTTAAGAGTTGGCTTAAAGACTGTGAAACCATTATCCAACAACAAGAGATCACAACATCAAGCAGTGCTTGCCCATTTAAAGCTGTAAATAATAAATAGAATGATACTGAAGTGGAAGCAATATCTCTCCTCTCCATGTAATTTACTGCCTACTAGTGGTGGCAGCAGGCTGGTGTCTCTGAAAGCTAACTTGACTACCAGCCATTGTAATTAGTTCCTATCATTTTTGTGGGCATGAAGGTGTCCCATTGGAAAAGGCTGGGGCTTGTCAAGTGGACAGCAGAATAGGATATTTTTTTGGAGGTTTGTGCATCTGTATTGAGCTGTCCTTGACAGCTACTGTTCTATCAGTTTGGTTATGATGCAGCACGGCTTGTGCACATGCAGATGTGTGTGGAAACTAAACTTGCGCACTGAGCGTTAGGAGACTGTAGTAGCAAGTAAAAGAACTAACTACACAGGGATTTATCATCTCTGTACAAGATGTGCAGTAATATGAAAAGTCTGAGACAGAACATTGTTGCACAAGTATCGCAGCTCCTCTCAGGAAAAGCTCAGTACGTAGGTTGTGTGCATAGTGGCCGAGAGAGAGAGAGAGAGAGAGAGCGGTGTGGTTAGTGACTCCAGCTAGCTTGTAACTTCTGACTTCTCTATGAGAGTTAGAAGTTGGCAATATCACTGTGAACGTATCAGTGCAATGTACTGTATGTGCACTTTAGGCTCTTTTATGCTACAACTCTTCAAGACCCAAACTGCTGCGTCTTCCCTGTGCTTCCCAGCTACAGTCCAGGCGGGCAGGTAAATACAGGATTCTGCATATTGTCACTGGAGTGTGTCATTGTCAGTTGATGGTAAATATTTTGAAGAATACCATAGAAGTGATTTTTGTGGATATTTTTCCTTTTTATAGTGCACAGTTGATATGTATAGTGTCAGTTCAAAGGAATAATCCTAAAACTCCTTCAGCCAGGAAGGAGGAAGGTGAAGATGACCAAGCAGAAGCAGGAGAGAGACTTTCAGCAGAGGAAAGTCAGGCAGCACAAAATCATGAGAAGTCAAGAGATTTACTACTGCTACTGTCACAAAAAGGTATGTTTTAGTTTGGTCCATATTGTTGTTGGATCACTAAGCACAGCGTGGGCTCATTCAGCTAATCATTTACCATTCTTTCCTTTAAAGCATGTGACAAGACCAGCCAGTCTGCCAATGGTGNGGAACATCGGACACACTTAAATGTTTGGACCGTCCATCGAGGAGGGAGCGGTTGGTGACATAGGACCCCGTTCCCTCAAGCCTGAGAGGTCCCAGTTGTAACAGACTCCGAAGTCTTTAAATGATGAGATTATGGTTGGTTTTAACTCATGAATGTCAGTATGAATGTCTGAAAAATGCTACCTACTATGTACTTTTTAAAAAAAATCATTGTTTACATCAAACAGTGACACACATGTTCCCTAAATTATGTTTTAAATAAATTATTTTAATTATTAACTATGTATTTAGATTCTTTACATCCTTTGACAAGGCATCATTCATTCAACTTTACAAAAGCTTTACATTACTTACACATTACTTTTATGAAATGTAAGTTTTTACGTAGTTAAACTCTGATGTCTGTATGTTAGATATGACACTATAGCCAGCAGCCAATTGGCTTAGCTTAGCATAAAGACTGGAAATGGGGGAAACTGTTAGCCTGACTCTGTCCAAAAGTAACACAACTTGCTAACCAGCAGCTCCAAAGATGACAGCTTTACATGTTATTTCACTTATGTTTAATCCATACGCAAACTGAAGTGTGAAAATGTCAAGTTGTGGTTTTACATGTGATTTATGTGCTGGACTGTTTCTTGGAAGGACACCGACTTCCTGACAAAATATAGTAAATAGTGTATTTTCCAAAATGTTTAACTCTTCCTTAAGAGTTGGCTTAAAGACTGTGAAACCATTATCCAACAACAAGAGATCACAACATCAAGCAGTGCTTGCCCATTTAAAGCTGTAAATAATAAATAGAATGATACTGAAGTGGAAGCAATATCTCTCCTCTCCATGTAATTTACTGCCTACTACTGGTGGCAGCAGGCTGGTGTCTCTGAAAGCTAACTTGACTACCAGCCATTGTTAATTAGTTCCTATCATTTGTGGGGCATGAAGGTGTCCCATTGGGAAAGCTGGGGCTTGTCAAAGTGGACAGCAGATAGGATATTTTTTTGGAGTTTGTGGCATCTGTATTGAGCTGTCCTTGACAGCTACTGTTCTATCAGTTTGGTTATGATGCAGCACGGCTTGTGCACATGCAGATGTGTGTGGAAACTAAACTTGCGCACCTGAGCGTTAGGAGACTGTAGTAGCAAGTAAAAGAAACTAACTACCACAGGATTTATCATTACTGTACAAGATGTGCAGTAATATGAAAGTCTGAGACAGAACATTGTTGCACAAGTATCGCAGCTCCTCTCAGGAAAAGCTCAATACGTAGGTGTGTGCATGTGCCGAATAGAGAGAGAGAGAGAGAGAGAGCGGTGTGGTTAGTGACTCCAGCTAGCTTGTAACTTCTGACTTCTCTATGAGAGTTAGAAGTTGGCAATATCACTGTGAACGTATCAGTGCAATGTACTGTATGTGCACTTTAGGCTCTTTTATGCTACAACTCTTCAAGACCCAAACTGCTGCGTCTTCCCTGTGCTTCCCAGCTACAGTCCAGGCGGGCAGGTAAATACAGGATTCTGCATATTGTCACTGGAGTGTGTCATTGTCAGTTGATGGTAAATATTTTGAAGAATACCATAGAAGTGATTTTTGTGGATATTTTTCCTTTTTATAGTGCACAGTTGATATGTATAGTGTCAGTTCAAAGGAATAATCCTAAAACTCCTTCAGCCAGGAAGGAGGAAGGTGAAGATGACCAAGCAGAAGCAGGAGAGAGACTTTCAGCAGAGGAAAGTCAGGCAGCACAAAATCATGAGAAGTCAAGAGATTTACTACTGCTACTGTCACAAAAAGGTATGTTTTAGTTTGGTCCATATTGTTGTTGGATCACTAAGCACAGCGTGGGCTCATTCAGCTAATCATTTACCATTCTTTCCTTTAAAGCATGTGACAAGACCAGCCAGTCTGCCAATGGTGTGACATGGTAACAACTGAAACTTGTTTCATAGACGAGGAGTGATCTCCTTCATTCTGCCTTGTTTCAGATCAGGTGTATTTTGTAGAGGACACGTTTAAATTTACCACAGGCCCATGTTTGGGTTTTAACGTATGAAAGAACCAGGCTTGGGGCTATAAATGAATTCAGGGTTAATTTGCCATCTGTTGGTAGTTTTCAGCAGGTGCTAAAGCAGTGGAGGAGAGGAGAGTTAGCTGGATTGATATCATGGTGGTCTGCTTTGCTGGCAACCGCAGGACTCAGGAGTTTGACACTAAAGAGTGACTCGGATGAGGCTGCGGCCACTAAATCAAAGCTATAACTCAAAAGTGGATTTAGTAATAGCTGAAAGTCTGAACATTATCAGGCATCTTACTGGCCCTAGAGTACTATGAAATTCATAACCGAGAAATGCTTGGATTTATTAATTGCATTGAATTTGTGTTAAGGCCAGGTGTTGTGGAAACCTTCCACTGTTTTCGAAAATCTGATTCAATCTGAATTTATAATGTGGTATTTACAGTGCTATAATCTTAAACTTGCCCCCCTGAACTATGTGCATGTGCACTAAGCATGTTAGCATTTACCTCAGCTGTTCCTAACATAGAGTGCCGCAGAGCTGCTAGCATGACAGTCGGCTTTCATTCATTTGAGTTTTACAGTGTTTGGAGCTTCCAGCTGAATGATTCCAGTTAAATGGCAAATATTCTCATATCCCAGTGAAATCTAGCGAAGTCGGTCTCTAAGCAGTCATCACATTATTCTGTCTGTGGAGCAGCCCCAGGGTTTGTCTCTAAATTACAACCTCAATAATGTCTATTTGGTGAAAGTAAAGACTGACACACATTAAAACTAAACTCTTATGATTATTGAGAGAATAGGTAAAAACCATTTTAGGGTCGTTTTTTTTTTTTTTTTTTTCCCCTCTTTGTGTAGAGAGGCCCTGGGAGCCCATCATCCACCGAACCAAAACAATTGAAAACAATAAAATGAAAAGCTGCAGAGCCTGTAGCTGTTTGTTTATCACTTGCGGGTTTGATTTTCTGATAAAGTACTACATGAAAGCAGAGCTGTTTACCACAGAAGTTCTGGGTGTCAGTTTCTTCCACTGGCACATAAATTCAGCAAAACAGGCAGAGAATTGGATTACCACCTGAAAGAGAGAGTCTCTTATTATCAGTCCATCGAATTCTACCAAAGTCTGCTTCTAGACAAGTGTGACTACTATATGGTCAGGTGACTGAGTCTGGGTTTGATGCAGCGAAGTCACAGACTGGAGTGTTTGTTGGGCCTTAGTGAGGCTTTAGAGCTTTGTAGTTGGCTGAGCTAGTGGCTGACAACAGTCCACACATATAAAACATTTGTCATAGTTGGAGGCCGTAGT